ATTTCCTACAACCTCACACAACCCAACATCTCTGTAGCGATCTCCCACAACCTCACACAACCCAACATCTCTGTAGCGATCACCTACAACCTCACACAACCCTACATCTCCGTAGCGAACTCCTACAACCTCACACAACCCCACATCTCTGTAGCGATCACCTACAACCTCACACAACCCAACATCTCTGTAGCGATCACCTATAACCTCACACAACCCTACATCTCTGTAGCGATCTCCTACAACCTCACACAACCCAACATCTCTGTAGCGATCTCCTACAACCTCACACAACCCAACATCTCTGTAGCGATCACCTATAACCTCACACAACCCTACATCTCTGTAGCGATCTCCTACAACCTCACACAACCCAACATCTCTGTAGCGATTTCCTACAACCTCACACAACCCAACATCTCTGTAGCGATTTCCTACAACCTCACACAACCCAACATCTTTCTAGCGATCTCCTACAACCTCACACAACCCAACATCTCTGTAGCGATCTCCTACAACCTCACACAACCCAACATCTTTCTAGCGATCTCCTACAACCTCACACAACCCAACATCTCTGTAGCGATCACCTATAACCTCACACAACCCCACATCTCTGTAGCGATTTCCTACAACCTCACACAACCCTACATCTCTGTAGCAATCTACTACAACCTCACACAACCCTACATCTCTGTAGCGATCTACTACAACCTCACACAACCCAACATCTCTGTAGCGGTTTCCTACAACCTCACACAACCCCACATCTCTGTAGCAATCTACTACAACCTCACACAACCCTACATCTCTGTAGCGATCTACTACAACCTCACACAACCCAACATCTCTGTAGCGATTTCCTACAACCTCACACAACCCAACATCTCTGTAGCGATTTCCTACAACCTCACACAACCCCACATCTCTGTAGCGATTTCCTACAACCTCACACAACCCAACATCTCTGTAGCGATTTCCTACAACCTCACACAACCCAACATCTCTGTAGCGATTTCCTACAACCTCACACAACCCAACATCTCCGTAGCGATTTCCTACAACCTCACACAACCCAACATCTCTGTAGCGATTTCCTACAACCTCACACAACCCAACATCTCTGTAGCGATTTCCTACAACCTCACACAACCTTACATCTCTCTAGCGATTTCATACAACCTCACACAACCCAACATCTCTCTAGCGATTTCATACAACCTCACACAACCCAACATCTCTCTAGCGATTTCATACAACCTCACACAACCCAACATCTCTCTAGCGATTTCATACAACCTCACACAACCCCACATCTCTGTAGCGATTTCCTACAACCTCACACAACCCAACATCTCTGTAGCGATTTCCTACAACCTCACACAACCCAACATCTCTGTAGCGATTTCCTACAACCTCACACAACCCAACATCTCTGTAGCGATTTCCTACAACCTCACACAACCCAACATCTCTGTAGCGATTTCCTACAACCTCACACAACCTTACATCTCTCTAGCGATTTCATACAACCTCACACAACCCAACATCTCTCTAGCGATTTCATACAACCTCACACAACCCAACATCTCTGTAGCGATTTCATACAACCTCACACAACCCCACATCTCTGTAGCGATTTCCTACAACCTCACACAACCCAACATCTCTGTAGCGATTTCCTACAACCTCACACAACCCAACATCTCTGTAGCGATAACCTACAACCTCACACAACCTCACATCTCTGCAGCGATCTCCTAAAAAAGATGATCTGCTTTCTAAAATCTCTCCCTCAGCAACGGCATTACTGTCCCTAAATTCACAGCAATATTCTAAAACCGGAAGAATGAAGGATCTACATTTGTATATATATATATATAAGGATATATTTTTTACGAAGGACACGGAGTTGTTTCCCATCCGTTTCACCAGTATGTGTTATGTGACAGCTATGTTTAGCATTCAAATTGACAAATAATCCAAGATATTACAATGAATATGAACCAGGTCGATGTTAGAGATATACACTGCTTCTGGTTTTGAAGGATTGAACTTTATCAGCCAGTTTGTCACTGTTTGTTCTTTTCTTAGCTGACTTAGATTTAAGCGATCCATCTGGTTAACCTCTTACCACAAATCGCTATATCTAACCGGTAACTATTTTCTTTGAGTTCGTAAACTACAGAAACTTAAAATCGTATATTCGCATCTAAATGAGGGTCGATTTGATGATTTTAAACATATTTCAAGATGTTATCTTTGGATTTAGAGTACCGTATCAATGTTGAGTTGATTTCACTAATCACTTTTATTTATTTATCTATTTAGTTTTATTAAATTCATATCTTAAAATTGTTTAACTTTGTAATGTCACTAGATTGAATATACCAAAGTGTATTTCTCATAATATTTGTAATTCATTATCTCACGAAACACATGATCGACATAGTTGACTAAGCATTGCCATCACTTGGTGCGAGCAGGTCGATTCACTTGGATGCCGGACAGTACATGTCTCCTTTTTAAGTACCAGACTTTCCGGAGTGAAGATGTAGTGAGCTGGACACGGAAGGTGTGACGGTAACAGCCCGGATATACGGTGTATGAGAACTATGGATCAGACCCATTGTCATTGTATATATATATATATATATATATCAGATCAATACTTTATACATGTCATTCATTGACTTATTATAGACTAAGCTCCTGTATCGAACGCTAACACAGAGGAGTGGCACACCATGTGGAGCCGTACATGTTCTATTGAAATAAACGTCAAACGCTAAAAGACCTCTGTTGATGCATTTTTCCGGGAGGAGGGGGAGGAAATGTGGGGCATTGTACTTCAATTATCGTTCTTGGTTTGTTTTAAGAGAAGCAATTTTTTATTTGCTTTACCGTATGGGACTTTTTTTTACTTAATTACAAATCTGAATCTGAACAATATTTCTAAATGCTTAATGTATTTTTACCCCATTGTCTTGCATCAGGGCTTCTAATGAGGTGTTGATCTCTCCCCGTTCAAAACTAACAAATATTAACCAACACCATTAGGAACACAAGCACTGACACATTTTATTTCATTTTATTAATACACATATAATACAAAAATGAACAGTTGTGGTTGGGGAGTTAGCCGTTCCCATCCCACCATATCCCGAACTATTCCCACCCCATCCCGATCCATCCAACCCATCCCGATTTATATCACCCTATCGAAACTTCCTTTAAAACTTTTGTCTTCATAATGTAATCAGAATTGTCAGCTTTCAGGAGCAGATGTGACTTAATATTTGTAAATAGAAATAAAATTTTGAAATATCTGTCCCTACCCTTCCGCCTCGCTTTCCCTTCTCCTACTTCAAAGAGACGATCTTTAACACCACGCTAGGGAAAGGCGCGAACAATAGAAGGGAGACAACTCGTCCGCATGTCGAGACCATTTCACAAAATAGTATACAACAGTACGACCGTATTTACTTCAGCATGTATTGGGATGTCTTTTAAGCTACGAGATTAATTATAACTACAATGTACATGTAACATTCGTCATCGTTTTATAAAATGGTGCTTGTCGTCCCGTAAACAGCAATGGGTCATTTTGAAGCGCAGTCTCCTAATGAAACCTGGGGATTCGGTTTCTTATAGACAAGCATGAGGCCCGCCACACACTATATAGATCAAACGTGAAGTGTTTGGCTAAAGGATACAGCCGCGACTTAAGGACGGTACCCGATGTTCAAAGTGTAGCGATCAAACGGTTTCCAAAACGAGTACACCAACGCTACATTGGAACTAATCCGTTATTTTTGGAATTCAATGAAATAGCTTGATCTTACAATTCCCTGAAAGTTAGATGCCATAACAAAATGTAGTATTGAGAAGAATGCGTTATGTATTCTAAAAATTCGACAATAACAGACCATATAATGTGTAAAATAGAGAATTCAAAATTTTAATCTAATACCATCATGTTTAACTCGGCCATCTTCTTACTTCTAATAATCATACATACATGTTGAATCCTACATGATTCATTATTGCCGTGATTGAAATGTTTTATAACATTGTAAATGGTTCTATGAAATATTGTACGAATATCGTAAGAAAACGTGGACAATTTCTCCTGACTAAAAATGCTTTGTTAGTTATGGACAAATAACAGGTAAGTATTATCCTCAAACAAGTGAACCATAGCTTGTGAAACTTGGGGATTTTCCTCCAAATAGTCGATAAAACACTCAAACGACTTCTTTTGATGAAACAAAAGGCGTATAACCTTGATATAGCCCCATTTAAAAAAATATTAAACCAGGAAGCCCGACCATGTTTGCAAAAAGAAATGAAAATCACCTTTATTCAAGGTCACATGAGCTAAATTTGTACTCATACAACTTCTACCGATCACCAAAAATACACAGAATCGTCTTGATTTTCAGCTAGTACAGTATCTTCTATGGACGAAACATGGAAAAGTTTACAGAAGAATCAATGAAATGGTATTGTTTACTTAAATAACCCACAAAAACCAACAAACTGCAAATGTGATCGCATTGTACGAGTTGGTTGCTAAAACGCGGAACACGGAATGAGAACCTCTAACTGTTCATTGGATAAAAATATATCCTTTCAAGCTTTCACGTGTAAATGAAATGATACTTTAAATCTTAATTTTACGACAATTGCGAAACTAGTTTTACCAATGCACATCAATCACACTTTTTGTTTAGGATAAAACTGTGCAAGAGTTTTTCTGTGGAAAGAAATAGGAGAACCTGATGTAAAATCACCACGGATGCCTATAGTGGGTAGGCGACTGTTACAACTGCGCCATCCGACCAAATTACATGTATATATGTAACTGAGTCAATATCTGTATCAATGACAAGAAATGATTAAGACAAAAGAAAACAAAACACAAAAACAAAAATGATAATGATAGTAATAATAAAAAACATGTTTTAGTATTTATCGAAGTTTTTATCTACATATGTACATATGAACGCAGTGTCACGTATGATGGTTGAAAATCTCTGAACTATTTACAATGTATCGGCGTACGTGTTAATTATCACAGCTTTGTGTTTTACTCAATTACAATAGTAGTATAGAAATTGTAGACAATTGATCTCCCAACACTAGCTTAGATCTAATTTACAGGATCATAATGTCTGTTGTCTATTCAAGTGTGTAGAATTTCTAGCGTGTTCACTGGTGTAAACATTTCCTGTTTATAACTATTTCTTGTTGTGTTGATGCACACAACTGATATTTTTTGACGAATAACATTCTGTTTTCTAACAGACGTGTAGTACACTGTCAAGGCGTAATTTGACAAGTTTATAAATGTGGATAATAGTTGATAATGGTACATCGGCTATGACGTTATATAACTCAGTGACGTCATGTTTACAGCCTTTTTGTCCTATTCATTGATTGGCTAAAGGGTAAAGCTTACAATTTAAAAGTTAGGTAAATAACTATTAATTGTTCATGATGATGTCTTAATGATTGAAAAGTTCCGGAAGTGTTCATGGTGGCGACACCTCTGTTCCAAAGCAGCCTTCGACGTTTCCGCAAGGGCGGTAATTACAGCAGACGACAGCCTTTCCATGATCATCACGTGCGTATCCTGTGCCCAGCTCCTTACTCCCCTTCCACACTACCTGTGTGAAGTGACCTGAAATATAACAATGTCATTCTGTTATTTTATTGGCAATAATCATCATTATGTAGCATGTCTTTGTTATTGTTGCGGGTACATCTGCCTGGTGTACGAATCAAAACACATCATTTAGTAAGCATACTGGTCTATCAAGTCACGCATCCTTCAGAACACTACCACATATGTACTTCTATTCACAAGTTTCGGCAAGTAAGATGTGATACCAGATTCCAAGGATAATTATGTGTACGGTTTGTGTCAACATCAAAAATGTATTTCATCATGTGTTGCAATTGAAAATCTCAAAGACATATTTGATTTGAGCTTAAATACAGACTCTAATGAAAAGAGCTTGCCAAACCTTCAATCAATCGATTGTTCGGTGCCTACCTGTTTCCATGCTGAATCCCCCTGTTGCGAAGTTGTAATATTTTATTTCACCGTAATGCTTTTCCGTCACTTCTTTGCCTGTAAATGAAGAACAAAGAGAACAATGTGAATATCCATCCCAAATCCGATAAAAAATAAATTTATTGACATATTATGAGTTACAGACATATACATAATAACACTTCCGGTTCACGGTACGGTTGACCCGGAAATACAAATCTAAAGGCTTTATTTATAAGCATTAGAGATTCCACGTCATGAAAACCTCACTAGGGCTTCGTTATAACCAGTCTTTTCATAATACAGTGTTGTTTCGTAATAAGAAAGGGCTTCAAGAATATTGGTCACCAAAGCCCATCTTCCACGTGTATTAATGAGAGTTAAATGTGAACTACAGTGTATTATGTGAATTCCTTGATTTCACTGATCACATACAATATAAGAATGAACAATATTATATATGATATTCACCTGTAGCGTTTGCATCTCCTCCCCAGAGGTTTTCACCATATTCAGTATCGCTGTGTTCAAATATATCGTTTTTAACGAGATGCTCCGCCCACTTCTGAGCGATTTCATCGAGGTCTTTGGCCTGGGTCAAGGGTTCAGCTCCGTGCTTGGCCCTGTACTTATTATGTGCTGCTAAAACTTCCTCGCGAAATTTCTGTCGTTCTTTGTCATCATCGGAGACACTGTTTTCTCTCTTCTTTCCCTGTTGTTTGTTGTTGTTTTCATTTATTGAAGTGGTTCTGGTATTTTTCAGGAACTGTTGCGCGGATTCGGTCTGAGACGGACCACAGCCCATGATCCAAAACACGACTGAGAATAATAACACAAATAATAACACAAAGGTCCGGCACTTCTGGAAGGGAAGTTTTGTCGTAAACTTGTATCCACGAAATAGTGTTTGGTTAATCTGTGAAGTTTGAAGCTCTAGCTCATTAAATCAACACAATACTATAATACGTTATAGGTGTACCAAAGGTACGACATACTTACAATATACATATATAAACACGTAAGTACTACATGTGTACGTACACACCGCATTCTAGCATTGTTAAGTACTAAAATCTAAAACGCAATCGGGTTTGAAATTTAAATATAACCATTGAATGTAGACACTGGACAAAGTCGTGGGCTGAACACAATCCATTGAACCACCCTGGTTTAAATAAACATCAATATACATGATGTATGTAATTAACACTACCAATTACTGCCTCGTGATCGATCTATCTTATACTACATGGAATGTATGTGATATATATGTCTCAGTTCTTAGATCATACGAAAGAAAGTCATTAGGAGATGAATATGATTGTAATGAAGGGGTTGGTATGAATGCAGTGGCATGCAAGTGGTTGTTACAGTACTCTTGTCTGTTTGTGTGATACTATAGGTTTAAAAAGTTAAAAGCCATTCTGGTGTGTGATGGTGTGAGGGTATCAAGGGCTACATAGGAAATATTGTGCTTTGAAGCTTTTGCATGTTGTGTACTATACTGCTGCTATATTGGCAGTACGTTACAATGCGTGAAAAGTGAGTATTAATATGCGTCCTTTGTAGCGGCGATATGTGTAAATACACACGTTTGCTCACGTCTGAGCTAGGGGTCTACAGAAAAAAAAATGAATGGTTGAAATGATCAGTGCAAGGAATTGATTCGTACGCAGGCTAATTAATGGTAAATTTGTACATAGTGTTTAAAGACGGTCTTCGTCTCACTCTGCTGATTGGAACATGCTTCCGTGGATTATAACGCCGGAGATCTGGGTTTAAATCCTGTTCGGGCATCTAAAGCTACAATGTTATAAACCAAGGCTTCTAGCAACTTGCATGTGTATTCGTGTCCGCATTCCAAAGGTTCAGATTTTCACAAAAGAGCTGCGTACTGGTATAGTGAAAACCCTGGACATCGATGATTGCATTTATACGATTAGGATTTTTTTTAAATTCTCCAAATCTTTTGATGAAGACTTTGTATTGTAGTGATATATACTTCAACACATGGTCTAGTCAGCAACTCCAAGTTTAGTTATGTAATGCAATTTATCTTTCAATTTTTCATCAAGTCTTTAGTAGAAATAAAGAAACGAATAGAAAAAAAATAAGTTGGTGTTTTATCGCTCGTACTGACAATAGCTACATCTGGGAAATCGACGGAATTACTTCGGTCGTCTATGATTCTTGAAGCCGTGTTTTCCTTACAGGTAATTTACTTGTGGTCATTTTGGAAGTGAAGATGTAAAATTCGAAGTTTTTTCGCAGAATAACTGCGACTTTTCTGAGGCCGGTGAATTTCTCTCAGCTGTTTCATTGGTCCGCTGTACACTACACAAGTCCTTGTCACTAGATACATTGTCACATGTTCTAGTGGACTCAGAAGCGAAAAAAAAACACAGAAAAAAATAACGACAAAAAGAAATCACCAGTACTATTAAAATCATTTTTATTCAATCGACATATTGAAGAAAGACACCGGTAGCGCAACAATGTATCGTTGTAAAAAAATGAATGAGATCAGTGATGACGTAATAATAAATTAAAGTGATAAACACTGAAATCAGTGATGACGTAATAATAAATTAAAGCGATACACACTGAAATCAATGATGACGTAATAATAAATTAAAGTGATACACACGGAGATCAGTGATGACGTAATAATAAATTAAAGTGATGAACACTGAGATCTATGATAACGCACTCAACACCATTTTCATAAAAAGATTCTATTACGATTCAAGCATACACCCACACAAGTATACATTTTTGTATAACCACAAGACACATAGTGTTCATAGAACATTCGTGTATCATTATAACAATGTACATGACATTTGTGTATATAATTATAACAATGTACAGGATATTTGTGTATAATTATAACAATGTACATGACATTTGTGTGTATAATCATGACAACGTACATGACATTTGTGTGTATCATTATAACAATGTACATGGAATTTGTGTATAATTATAACAATGTACATGACATTTGTGTGTATAATCATGACAACGTACATGACATTTGTGTGTATCATTATAACAATGTACATGAAATTTGTGTATAATTATAACAATGTACATGACATTTGTGTATATAATTAGAACAATGTACATGAAATTTGTGTGTATAATCATGACAACGTACATGACATTTGTGTGTATCATTATAACAATGTACATGAAATTTGTGTATAATTATAACAATGTACATGACATTTGTGTATATAATTATAACAATGTACATGAAATTTATGTATAATTATAACAATGTACATGACATTTGTGTATATAATTATAACAATGTACATGAAATTTATGTATAATTATAACAATGTACATGACATTTGTGTATAATTAGAACAATGTACATGACATTTGTGTGTAATTATGACAATGTACAGGACATTTGACTGTATAATTTTAACAATGTATATGACATTTGTGTGTATAATTATAACAATGTACATGACATTTGTGTATATAATTATAACAATGTACATGAAATTTATGTATAATTATAACAATGTACATGACATTTGTGTATAATTAGAACAATGTACATGGCATTTGTGTGTAATTATAACAATGTACATGACATTTGTGTATAATTATAACAATGTACATGACATTTATGTGTAATTATAACAATGTACATGACATTTATGTATATTTTATACAGTGCATGTAACACATTTTTGTGTACCAACGTGTAAAAGTATCACTTTGTAAACAAAGATGTGTCTTATCATATGTGAACATTTTTGTGTAACCTTCATTATGTACATCCATTTAAAAATATTTTGATAAAATTTCTTTTTTTTACTTTATCAAATATTCGCATACAGCAAATCAATTTGAGACTCGGCAAATGAAAAAAATCCCATTCTCTTATTAAAATAAATATAAAAAGTATCCTTTCCTGCAACATTAAAAAATCTTGATTTATAAAATGCGGCTCTTTTGATCACAAATTAAATAAGAAATATTTTCTTAACTTAAAAATTCGTATTAAACAAGTATTTCAATCATATCAAATATCGATGTAAACTGTGTTATTCCCAAGTATCGGATACACTTCGAGGAATGTCAGTAAGAGTTATCTTTCCTGAGTCTCGATTTACGTGAAGTATAATATTTTGATATATGAAATCCCAAAAGACAGACATTCATGCAAATTCAATCATCGTATAGATGATAGTTATGTATTAACGTTTTGCGATTTGATACTCAAATGAATTCATGAAAGCTACTAGACAATTAATTGTTCATGCTATCGAGCTAGGTACTTCTATGTAACAATTAAGAGTTTCGGTTTGAGGATAATATGTGAACAATTTCACCTGAAGTATGTTTTCGCAAACACATTTTCGTCACGAGATGTTTATTTTAAAACCATGAGATCGTGAACAAACAATATCTTAGATGTAACAATACACAGGCAAACACACTTCAATCAATCGCTAAATCAATAAAAACAGCAATCACCCCTAGAAACTACTACCACAAGGAAAACGTTTTTAAAAAATCGTATTTTCAATATCCTTTAAAACAAACCTTGAGATCCTCGAATTAAAAAAACCACTTTCCGGTAGTTTATAGTCTAAACTCATACTTGTATTGTCTGATACTCATACGTAAGGCAAAAAGATTTTACGCTATAATATCCATGCGAGGATTAAACAGAGAGTTACCTCCCCTCGCGTATGACTAGATAAACATGGGTACAAAATGTTAAAGCATCTCTATGGTGATACAACAATAGACGTATTCATTAAGTTCGGTAAGTAATGGAAGCTACCATTAGTTAGCCTATTCGTGAAGTTGAATGACATACACATGTATGATACTTAATAAATATCTGTTGTCAGCGAAAAAAAATCACTATTCTTCAACTAACCTTTTGATAGTGGGTTCAGACGATGGATTATCCTTGAACATTAAGTAATCTTTCACTAATTTCGGTACGTCAAGACTAGCTACCGATTTCTCGAAACTTTGACCTTTCACCTCATCCCTGACCCTTAACCTACAGAGGTGTTGCAGGCTGCCAGTTCCTGTCATGTTCGCCATCACTGATTTGTAAACATCTGCAATTTTGTCTCGTCCAACTCGCCCCGACTTGTGCATACTTGATTTTTCGCCCTTTTCTTTTGATGGGATTCGAAATCCGATCCTGACTAGAGATTTAGCAATATTAATTCTCGTTTTGGAATGAAAGTTTGGAAAATTTTGAGCAAATTTGAGCAATTTTTCTAGCGGCGTTTCACCATGATTGTTAAGAATATTGAATTTTGCCCCATGTTGGACAAGAGTTACAATGCCATCTTCACAACAACGAGCACATGCGACATGTAATGGAGTGTCCCCTTTAATATGATCCTGAGTGTTAACGTCACATCCGGCGTTTAACAACTGGACGATGATTGGTCCGGAGTGGGCTGCCGCCACGTGTATCGGTTCTTTCCCACTGGACGCACACCTCTTTGGGTCTGCACCTTTTCTTAATAACCACGCTACTTTCTCTTCCTGGAAGAAAACAGTGATGACTTAATAATAATATTTATTACGTTGCAATTGTTTACAAAAAAAAATTATTTATTTCATACGATGACACTTGTATGTGTTGTCTAAAAATGTTGGATGTGTATCGCACATGTAGCGATCATTTGTAATACATCGATCAGTTAGGTATTTAGTTGCTATGGAAACGCGACTGTTAGTTTGCTGCTGTTAATCATATTTCATGCTCTCTAGATATCGGTATCGGGAGAGTCCTAATTACCTCAAGGTTTAAAGAAAGGTGTCAAATTGTAAATTTAAAGGGACTGTGATGTCTGCAGTACTCGCCATAGAATTATTAATAACCTGTTTTACCTTTCTTTCGTCTTTAGAATCACTGATCACTGTGATCAGTATCGGATCCTTTCTACTGTCGGTTGCCATGACATTAGCTCCAGCAGCCAACAGTTCCTCTGCAACCTCCAAATTTCCCGCTAAAACCGCAAGATGAAACATAGGTCTGCCTCGATACCAACTAGTAACTGCTTCTTCACCACCACGTCTACTTAGTAAGGGTACTAGTTTACTTTTCCCATTTTCCACCGCAATACACAGCAGTTTTGTAATGATAGTTTTCCCGCTCCATTTTTGTGACAGGAAGTCATCACTCACGTGCGGTAGAATGATCTCAAGAAGTTCCTCGTTTCCGATATCAATGACTTTGAGGAGAATATCCGTACATAAAATGGTGTGATTGGAAATTTTTGAACGGAACCGGAAATGTTTACTTATCAGTTCTTTGAGCACGTGCAGCTTGTCAACACCTTGACAAACACACCAATGAACAGCCTGGATAGCACCCTCTGTAGAGGAACATGACTCTACAAGATCCATTTCCTACCTGCCAGTACCTGTAATACATTGAAAGTATACTTTAAATACCTGGTCTGTTACATCACATATACTGTCCGATATTGCTGTCGACACACACATGACTAGAAATCAATATTCATATTTATACCATAAATGTACGTCATCCGATCGAGACATGTCAGTCGTCGTATGTGTAAGGTCAGCTGTGTTCTTCCTGTTTCGACTTAGTTTGGGATAAATATAGGTATGTGATCTGACGTGTATAATCTGTTTCATGACAGTGATGTATTATATTCGATCCGTGAAATTGTGAGTGCAATAACAGCGGGTATTGATCTGAGATTTGTTACATCCAGGAGTAAATAAAAAATAAGATCGAGTATATTTACGTTGAAGTGCTCTCTAAGATTCGCCCCTTTCTTATACAAAAGACGAGGTATAGAGAAGGATTATGTTGCAATTAGAACGTGTATGATAAATGAAGTATGAATGTGTGGGAAGAGATTTTGTTACTTCCTTACAAGTTCCCGAATCACTTCTATAGAAATTAATAGCTGTACCGGGTACCGATTGAATCGGAGCTAAGTATAATCTATTTATACACCTGTCAATTTGACCGCCACACAGGTGAACTACACCGAGAATAAAGAAATGGTGACATAAAGCTGCATCGCTTACACTTCATTCTAAAGAAATAAATATGAAAGGGTTTTTGAAATCCGGATGGAATTTCACCGGAAGTTGTTTCCGGTGTTTATCTACGCCCCAACCTTTATTGGGCAAGGTATCGGGTCAGTGTAATGACTGGAACTTTGTCAAGTCATCTAATCATCGGGTTCTAACCCTTTCAGAAGTATGATTCATTACCTACTATAGTGTCTCGCCACGGTCTTTAAAATGATGTACCTGATATCTATCGCATTTTAGGCGTTTTGGAATCATAAATTGCTTTAAAATATATTTTTGATATAATTCATCACATGTAAAATACATACTTTTTGAAAAATAGTCATTATTTTCATTTTCATAGTCATAATATGTTATTAAGATTTTTTTCGAAGTGGAACTTTATCCTTTTTCGTAAGGTATTGAATGAGTTATTGTCAGGAAAACGCCTTTAATTTTACCTGCACCGTTACCTAGTCAAACTTGGAAAAAAGTACGTGTACCTGCACTTGTTGTATACGGTATGAAAAGTACGTGTACCTGCACTTGTTGTAGACGGTATGATAAGTACGTGTACATGCACTTCTTGTAGACGGTATGAAAAGTACGTGTACCTGCACTTGTTATAGACGGTATAAAAAGTACGTGTACCTGCACTTGTTAGAGACGGTATGAAAAATACGTATATCTGCACTTGTTGTAGACGGTATGATAAGTACATGTACCTGCACTTGTTATAGACGGTATAAGTACGTGTACATGCACTTGTTATAGACGGTATAAAAAGTACGTGTACACGCACTTGTTATAGACGGTATGAAAAGTACGTGTACCTGCAATTGTTGTAGACGGTATGAAAAGTACGTGTACCTGCACTTGTTATAGACGGTATGAAAAGTACGTGTACCTGCATTTGTTGTAGACGGTATGAAAAGTATCAAGGAGAAAAAATAAAGCGCGAATAAAGACGTTCTCGTGGCACTGAATAGTACACAATGTGTAGTTTACATGGTATGTGTACGTGGTTCAGAGGGAATATTTCAAGATGGCGGCGAACACATCCGAGCAGCTCTGTGTATGTGCTTAATTGGATTTCCATTTATCTGGTGTTCTGGGCCATTTTTACTGCAGATAATTACACAATTACTCAGTGATTATAGGGATTGTTGCCAGAACCGATAATACTGGGTACTTTGTCGCTACCAGTTTGTCCCCTCCGTATCACGACACGACAGTGAGGTAGTATACATCGAAAGATTATCATAATGGTGGACAGGTAAATTGCGACTGTCATTTCTATAAACTACATAATTTTTAAAGTATTATCGTAGTCCCCTGTTTCAGGTCTGATCCCTATTGTGTCGGGAACCCGCCAGATTACAGGAGATATTACAACGGTAAACAGGAGTTTAAACCTGCGGAATCTTACAGATTCTTCCTTAACACTAGTGTCTTTTAAATCATACTTCATCACATGTCTTGATATTAGAAAATATAGGAAATCACAACACAGGTACAAAATGATAACAGTACAAATAATGTTAGTAAATGTTAGAATGTACAAATGTAACACGGGTTTATTTCAGCGAAGAAATTCTGAAAGTTCATATGCATATAAGTTGTTTTTACAATTTGAAGTTCTCGTGAGTATATAACAGTACCTGAATATGATTCACAGGTTATGCTCTTCGCCAAACCATACAGCTATTCATACATTCCTCTTGACCACTGTTCGTGTTAAGTGGAAATCCGAGGTGACCTAATATTTTCTTCCTGGCAAGGTGACCAGAACTGGTGTATTAATCTAAATCCGCAATCTTGTTGAGTGTTTTTCGTGTACATTATCGTTTTAGGTGGCCAGATTTAGGGCTTTAAGTACCCTCGTTTATAGTTGACATTTGACTATGGGGAACAACCGACACATTATCTTTGACTCGATATCGACAGACTATCGTATATACTGGCGTCTGGGATGATATTAGAGAGATCGGTTTTCACCAATCATTATTAAAAGGTTTTGACAGATCTTGATGTGAAAGTCATAACCATATCGAGTTATAACAGATATTCCAAATCACGTCAAATTCATACACACGATAATTGTCCTAACACGTAAAGCTATAACACAGGTCATGGTAAAGTCACGACAACCTCATTCCACGCATCAGAAGTTAACAACACATAAACAGTATTGGTTTGAATATCGCAATCTTTTCACGTTATCTCCTTTTACAGAATTTTGCAAGAGGCATCATGACAGGTGCCACAAGTGGTGACACGACACACTTTGACAGGTGCCACATGTGGTGACACGACACACCATGACAGGTGCCACGTGTGTTACGATACATCGTGTTAGGCGCCACAAGTGGTGATGGGAGACAGCATGACGGCTACCACATGTGGTGACACGGCACACCATGACAGGTGCCACATGTGGTGAAACGCGGTGATGTGGGACGTAATGACGGCTACCACATTTGGTTACACAACACACCATGACAGGTGCCACGTATATTACGAGACATCGCGTTAGGCGCCACAAGTGGTGATGGGAGACGTCATGACGGCTACCACATGTGGTGACACGACACACTATGACAGGTGCTATATATGGTGAAACGAAGTGATGTGAGACGTAATGATGGCTACCACATGTGGTGACACGACACATCATCCTAGGTGCACATGTGGTGAAACGAGACATCATGAGATGAGCTACGAGTGGTGACAGGAGACGACGTTGCGATTGCCACATATGGAGACACGACACACCATGACAAGTGCCGCGAATGGTGAGAATGGTGACAAGATTCATGATTTGCGATAAAGAAAGCATTGTGAAACACATGAGTTTGCCTTTTATAGTACAAATTCAATTATATCCTCGAGACTCCAGGGTTTACGATCACCTTCACTCTCTGCACGTTCGGAGAGCCAAGTAGTAGAATATCTTTTTGCTTTGAGTTGCAGCTGAATTTAAATGTTGTCATTATGTAATGTCATTGTACATGTAGCTAATTTTGATACGTAAGATCGCATTATTTCCGTCGTGCCGAACACTCAAAAGCTCACAATGTGTAAATCGTCCAATGAAAGGCCGTTATAGTGGACGTAAAACCATTAAATAATAAATATATAAATCAAATTATCCTTCTGGTCCGGAGTGCAGGTCATGTCCAGGTCAGGACGTAGTGGAAATGGTATAACGATAAAGGCGTGGATAACCCTCCAGCCAGCGCGTGGTATTACATACTCTGTTCTTACACCTTCGTGTGGACAATGTAATTTAGACAACAGGCGTTAGTTTTACCTAGGGTATCGGTAATGATGGCAATTAAGGCGAAAACAACGACATAAAAAACAATTGTCTGTCAACTATTGTCAGATATAGGACTACAATGACATCTGTATTTAAAATTGTCTTCCCCTGGTTTTGTAAAAGTTTTTTTTACAGACAAACATAGAAAGCAAGGCGCTATTTTTTCAAAAATTATTTCTTTTCTCTGCCTAATAACATGTAACGACATGAAATAAGAGATGTGGCGTTTCTTTGAATCATATTGAATCTACATTGATGATTTTTGAAAAAATAAATTTGACAAATAACATTTTTGACAATTTTTTTTTATCTAAAATTTATATCCATATTGAAGTAAAATTGTATTATCAATAACTTATATGATATAAAAACTAAATGAAAATAAGTACATAAATAAATTCGATAGTCTGAAGCACTTCCCTGACAAAGTCTAACTTGACAGGTGAGTAGTATTTCTCCTCTTTTGTAGGACAATCGCGTGAAAAACTCATAAGAATCCAATTCAAACGAGCTAAGGTTAACATGCACTACTTCATATACAATTGTGTATCTACAGTAATAAATTTCAAATACATGTAATCACAAGTACATAAACCAATGAACAAACCCAATAATAACCGTACTTATGTATATCGGGGTGTTTTTTCATTACTATGATAATTAAGCTACACGTATCATCTTTTAATGTCACTTGGAAGTTGTACATCAAATCTTACAATAATTTACATGATGTGTTACATTATATCACTTGCACATGACCGTAATTCTGTAAATGGGATTCAAATTGCCTGTAGATATTGAAGTGATGCTTTGTACTCAATAATTTAAAATCATTCAGCGATGCAAAGATGCAAATATATGATAAACGAGAGCTATTACCTGTATAACACACACTTCCTGTAACTGAAGACACGGGGTATCTACAGCCCTCTGGTGACGTTAAGATTAAAATTCACTACAACTTACAAATTCCACAAACGTTGATGCCTTCACCACAGCTCAAAATCTCACAAACGTTGATGTGTGCACGATT